TGTATTTTTAGTAGAGACAGGGTTTCACCTTGTTAACCAGGATAGTCTCGATCTCCTGACCTCGTGATCTGCCTGTCTCAGCCTCCCAAAGTGCTGGGATTACAGGCGTAAACCACCTCACCTGGCCTGTTTGTTTTTGAGATGGAGTCTCGCTCTGTCACTCAGGCTGGAGTGCAGTGGTACAATCTTGGCTCACTGCAACTTCTGCCTCCCATATTCTCCAGCCTCAGCCTCCTGCGTAGTGGGGATTACAGGCATGCACCACCACACCTGGCTTATTTTTGTATTTTTAGTAGACATAGGGTTTCACCATGTTGGTCAGGCTGGAGTCAAACTCCTGACCTCAGGTGATCTGCCCACCTCGGCCTCCCAAAGTGCTGGGGATTACAGGCCTGAGCCACCACGCTGAGCCTAAAAACAACTTATTTCGGCCGGGCGCGGTGGCTCACGCCTGTAATCCCAGCACTTTGGGAGGCCGAGGTGGGCAGGTTACTTGAGGTCAGGAGTTCCAGACCAGCCTGGCCAACATGGTGAAACCCCATCTGTACTAAAAATACAAAAATTAGCCTGGCATGGTGGTACACACCTGTAGTCCCAGCTACTCAGGAGGCTGAGGCAGGAGAATCGCTTGAACCCGGGAGGCGGAGGTTGCAGTGAGCCGAGATGGTACCATTGCACTCCAGCCTGGGCAACAGAGTGAGACTGTCCCACACACACACAAAAAAAAAGATGAAGAAAAAGTCAGCCATGCAAGTAGCTGGAAGCAAGATCAGCTACATAATTTGTGGGGCCTAGTGCAAAAGGGCACCTTATTCAAAAATTATTAAAAAGTTAAAGATAGTGGCCGGATGTGGTGGTGCATGCCTGTAGATCCAGTTACTTGGGAGGCTAAGGCAGGAGGATTGCTTGAGCCCAGGAGTTTGAGGATGCAGGGAGTTGTTATTGCACCACAGCATTCCTGGCTGGGCAATAGAGTAAGACCGTGTCTCTGAAAATAAAAGGTCTTTTTTGTTTGTTTGTTTTTGAGATGGAGTCTTGCTCTGTCGCCCAGGCTGGAGTGCAGTGGCTCAATCTCAGCTCATTGCAAGCTCCGCCTCCTGGGTCCACACCATTCTCCTGCTTCAGCCTCCTGAGTAGCTGGGATTACAGGCGCCCGCCACCACGCCTGGCTAATTTTTTTGTATTTTTAGTAGAGACAGGGTTTCACCTTGTTAACCAGGATAGTCTCGATCTCCTGACCTCGTGATCTGCCTGTCTCAGCCTCCCAAAGTGCT